GTATATCTTGCCCTCTTTTCTGCCATGTCCTTAGGAAAGGTCGTAACTGCCACAGTCCATTTCACACAGAGGATTTCTTTTTTTCTTTTTTTTTTTTTGGAGAGGTTTTCGCTATAGGGCGTGTGCACTCGCCAGAAAGACAGAGAGAGACAGAGAGACAGAAAGCAAGAAATCACCCCCCAAGAGGGGATGGCCACACCACAATCCCTTCTCCTCCATTCTCCTCTCGGGATCTTGGGCATGCACGCACACGGGCCCGGTGCGAGTTTAAGCACCAGGTTTGGGACTTGAACCGCGGTCGACTGACTACATGGGAGTTCAGCGACATAGCCATTATGCCAAATGCGGGTCCTTCACACCAGAGGATTTCAAAACATAGAAAACACTTAAAGAAGAAATAGATTCCATAGTTTCATTTATTATTTTTTTTTCAAGGTAATCTATTCGTTCAAAAGAATTGCCTCAAATTGATTGTCATTCCAAAGAAAGAAGCAGTAAAGAATCCTGCTTTTGCCCCTAGGGGCTCTGCAGGAGACATCCCCAAGTGTGTTTACCCAGAAGGTGTCCCCAGGGGGCGCTGGTGAGCCAGCCACAGAAAAAGTGATGACCCTGCCACACAGACTGCTCCATGAGGGAGCCAAGATCTTCCTCTGAAACAGCCGTCAACCACCTGGCCCTGCCTGTGGGTGGGTGTGTCTCTTTATCTACCTGATATGCTTGGAGGATGCTGAAAAGGCAGCTCCCCCTTCCATGTATATCTTCTTTATTCATCTACCCTCTACCCTCTTATTAAAACACACCTTTGCGTCAAATCCAAGGTCCTCAAAAGGTTCTTGGTAAGGAACGGACTGAACAGGAAGGAGTTGATAACATTAATTAGATGTCACTGGGCCCAGAGAAATCCAAGAAAAATAAAAAATATATATATAAAGAAACAAGAAATAGAAAATTATTTGTTGCCGAGAACATGTGTGGTAATATCCTTGATTGAGCCTATATATGATGTATATAGGAAAATCTCATTTTGTATACTGTACTGATGTACAGTGGGTGAATGTAAGTAAAAAATAGAAAAAAGAATTAGAGAGCAGGAGACACCTGGCTGCTACAGAGTAGCTGCGGGAAGGCCTCAGTGACTGTCCTACCCTGAGGAACAGGGTGTGGCCTGACGACAGGCCCAGGGCCTGGCTTTCAAAGCCCACCTTAAAAGGCCCCCTCCTCTCACTACTTTGGCTCCAGGGCTCACTTTTCCTGGCCCTCATTTAGCCTAATTTGTGTGAAAGACTGGGGACTCCAGGGGCTGAGCTTCCATTTTGCTCTGCCTAGCGGGGGAGAGTGTCTCTATTTTCTCAGTTTTACCATGAAACTCTGAATTAGGTCATCTTGAGATCCCTTCCAGTTTATTGTCTTGCTTTATCTCTACTGCCACCCATCCTGCTTCTCCTATAGATATTTATGTCCTGGCATTAGTACCCAAGGAAGGGGAGAGAATGGTGTTGCTGAGGTCCTGGGAATGTTCCAGAAAGACCTAATGCAGAGAAGAGAGAGAGGCCTGAGAGGAAATGACAGAGAGCAGGGTTCTTGAGAGGGCAGCGGGGTACAGTCCAGCAGCCCATGGCTGGTCTGTGTCTGTCTCGCAGGCCTTTCTGCCTGGCAGGGCTTCGTGGCCAGTGGGTCATAGAAGCCATGTTTGTCAAGCACCTGGAAGGAATTGGCCTGAGCATTTGGAAAAATTCAAATCTTTAACAACATGGTTCTGACCAGACATTCTGACAGAATATCTGTAAATTTAAAAATGATCATTGCTCAGCTCTAGAGACTTGGAACATGAAGGAAACAGGATTCTGAAGCAGGAGTCATGAACGCAATGGCTTAGGGCAGGACAGAAACCCGAAATGAACAGAGCAGCCATGTGGGGCCTGGGAGCTCAGTTCTGCCCAGTGCAGGCGAGTCTTCACAGAGCCAACAGGCAGGTGGGTTCATTTTTTTTTTTTTTTAATGTTTTGAAAGAAAAAAGTAAGCTATCTAGATATGTTTGCTGATCTCGCTTAATTTTTAAACGTTGGCAGATAATTCAAAAATAAATTAAAGATAAAATCTTTCTGTCAGCTGCCTGGTGTGTGGTGGAGCCTGGTCCAGGACAGCTGTTGCTGGGTGCCTCAGTTTACAATCTGGTACCGAGGGCCCCTTGGTGGATGCTACCCAGTCAGCCAAGGCCAGATCCCCCTTAGGGGTAGGGCGCACCAGTAGAGAAGCTGTGTTTGGCAGATCAAATATGTCAGACTGTATTGACTCAACTCTCTGTGAAAACGTGACTTCTCTCTGGGACTTACATTTAATAATAATAAAAAAATAGTTGGGACCAGCAGATGGTGTAATGGTTACATTGCTGGACTCCCATGGAGTCAACTATGGTTCAAGTCCTGGACCTGGTGGCTTAAACCTCCTGCCAGGCGTGTGTGTGTATGTGTGTGTGTGTGTGCTCAAGATCCCGAGAAGAGAATGGTGGAGAAAGGGTTGCAGTGTGGTCATCCCCCCCGAGGAGGGGGTGATTTCTCGCTTTCTGTCTCTTTGTCTCTCTCTGGTGAGAGCACATCCCCTATAGCAAAAATCTCTCTAAAAAACTTAAGTTTTGCACAATGCTTTGCTATTTCACTTCTCATTGTGGTTAAATATAAACCCCAAAACAAATAAATATGCAAACTTTGTTTTAAACCAGCCAGTCTTAAGCCTTCTGTTCAACACCAGGAACAAATGTTAGATTTCTAACATGACTCTTCTTCCTTTTCCTCTGACTTCCTTAAATGCTAAATTAGTTTCAAACTCTCATCTCCTGCTTATCCTCCAAAAGTTCACAAGGTATAATAGGATTATAATTCAAGCAGAAAATAAGTTACGTTTTACTTCTTTTCCTTTATAATTAAATGAAAATACCAAATATTACATATAACATATGTTACATAATTATATCAATATATAATGGTTATTTTCAGTGTTAAAAATTATTAATGCTTATCTGGGATTCGTGATAGTTTTAAGAAAATAATATTCCTCTAGAATAATCTTCGAAGTCACATGGGAAGTTATACTGTAGGCATACCACCCCAGCCTTCGCTCTTCATCCTTGCTCAGTAAATGATTTTTGACTGAACGAGCAATTAATGGCAAGGAAAAAAATGTTAAAAACATTCTGTTTCAGAATGAGTAGGTGTACCCTTCTCGTTTGGAAGTTAAACTCAGTGTATTTAGTTCATTCTGATTCTCTGAGATGGACAACGAAACCATGAGCGATGAAGAAGGAGCTGGCCTGATGTATCCCCTCATTCCAGTTCTCCTTCATTTTTGCCACATGAAGATGCCTGCACTCAGTATTTTTTGTTTAAGTCAATTATGTTTCATTCAGTCATATCATTACAGGTTGAACATCTCTCATCTGAAAATTCAACATGCAAAGTGGCCCAGAATCTGAAACTTTGGGGGCGCTGACACGACACCATAAATGGAAAATTCCACACTTGACCTTTTCTGATGGGTTGCAGTCAAAGCCTTGCAATACAAAAATACTACACACGACTACCTTCAGGTCATATATTTAGTATGTATATAAAACATAAATACATTTTGTGTTTAGGCTTGGATTCCACATCTAAGATAGCTCCTTATATATGTGCAAATATATATATATATTTTTTTTTTTTGGAGAGGTTTTCGCTATAGGGTGCGTGCGCTCGCCAGACAGACAGAGAGAGACAGAGACAGAAGGCGAGAAATCACCCCCCAGGGGGGATGGCCATGCCACAATCCCTTCTCCTCCATTCTCCTCTTGGGATCTTGGGCACGCATGCACACGCGCCCGGCGTGAGTTTTAAGCCACCGGGTCCGGGACGCGAACTGCGGTCGACTACGTGGGAGTCCAGCGATATAGCCATTACGCTAACTGCTGGTTCCCTACGTGCAAATATTTTTAAAGATCTGAAAGTTGAAACACTTTTGGTCCCGAGTATTTCAGAACAGGGATACTCAACTTGCATTATGAATGAAAAACCAGAATCATTAACAAACGTTGAGCACAATCTGATAGGATTTCAGGTAAGAAATATTATTTGTGTTCCTGGATCCTGAGATATGTTTTATCTTTGTTAGAAAGGGAGATGACGAAGGGTTAGACACCGTGACATTTATTTCTATTAGAATAGGATTTTTTTCCTTCATAAAATAAAAAGGATTGAAGGAGAATGGAAAGGAATTGCACAATATTCCAGGCTGTTGCGAGATACAGAAATAGCACAGCAGGTACCACCAGAGCTTGCCCCATACTTGAGAAATTCTGATCTAATCCAATGACCGCATTTTACAGAGGAGCAAAGGGAGGCAGAGGGCAGGGTGCTGGGCCTGATCCCAGGGTGGAAGCCAACCCCATGTCCCGGCTTCCTTTCCCCTCTACTCTGGAATGCTGATGCCTCCTCTCTCGAGCTCACCTGCTAGAAGGTGAATGGCCGCATGAAACAAGGATGGAACAGAAGTCCTGGCGTGGAATCTGGGTGGAAGCGGGAGGTGTTGAGCCTCAGAGACCGTGACTGGCAGTGGTGTGGATGGGGAGTTTAGGGGGCTCTTGGGGAGGAGAGAATAATCATCTCTTATCCTGACGACTCCCCTTTACTCATGAGATGATACAGAGCCAGAGAAGGGGGATGACTTGTTCGAGGTCTCATGGCCTCTCAGTGGCAGAGGGGAAGTTGGAGCCCCATCTCTGCCTCCCAAGCCTGCAGTCTATACGGCATTGCTCTGGGTTTCCAGCTCTGGCACCCCTGCCTGTTTGTAAAACAAGTACGAAGGCTATGGTTTTTTTAACATCTGTTATTATGGCTACTTTGCACTAGCAGGAGAACCACAACTTTCCTTGCACCAGATGTCCCAGAGTCCTCACTCTCAGGCTACCCTGCACCAAGGGACACTGCACCCCTCCATAATCCTAGTAGCTGCCCGCCATGGTAACTCACCGCAAATCGCTTCCCACAGCTCTGGTTGCCGCAGCACCCACAGCAGTCATTGTTCTTCAGGCCCAAGAACACCAGTGCAGGGAAGATCATCTGTCAGCAAGAAAAGTACCTCAGAATGGATCTGGGATTGGAGGGGAGGGCCTGGGCCTGCCTGGCTGAGTGAGGAGCCTTTCCACAGTGGGGACTGCATAACTCCAAGGGGACGGTGGGTGACACTAACAGCATGGCTGGCAGGATGGAAGGAGTGGTATGGACTATTGAGGTTCCATTTGACCTAACTTCAGTTTTAATGAGGTAAAGTTTCAAGATTTGACACCCGAAGTTTCCAATTAGATGGCGTTTAGGACAAGGATAAGAAACGTGTCCTCAATGGTCATGAAAAGCAATCTTCTCTCTCAACTGGACGTTCCCAACTCCATTGGAAACAAGGGGTAAAGAACTCGTTAGTGCCTTGGCGTGGAAGAGGATGCCATGGGCGCCTTCTCTTGGTGATTGTAAGTCAATCACTTTGCTAGAAAGCATGTTTTTAAATTTATTTTTTAGTTTTGGCACAACTCTGTTGGAATAAAACAATAATGTGGGCTTCAGTTTGGTTCATGGGACTCAACTGACCCATGAGAACCACCAGCCCAAGCCAGGAATTAATTAGTAAGTACAGCAGATAGGTACTCATCAGCTCCCAACAGAGAGAGGGAATAAATTAAGACACTGTGTCTCCTCATCATGCAACACTTGAGCTTCTGGCAACAACTAGCTCTCTCCCTGTTCAATGACTACCTGATTTACACAGGATGGGGGTGGGGGGCCTCCTTTCAGAGGATTTGAAGGCTTCCCTACTCACCAAGACCCCGCTTCCCAATATTCCTCCGAAATACCAGATCTCGTCAGAAAGGTGATTGTTGTTGTCTATGACTTTTCCTCCAGGGAAAAATAGCAGGATGTTAGCCAGGAAGCCAAACAGAGCGAGGGGAATGAGGGTGCCCCCCAGGCACTTGGCACAACCCCCAGTACACATGCTGGGGACGCAGGAAATAGGCCAGCGACAAAAGGGTCCTCTCTGTCTCCTTCACCGGGTCTCTGCAGCGTCGTTGGCCTGAGCGTTCTAATAATTGTCCCCGGTTCAATCAGTATTTCAGAGCTGAGAACCACGTCGCTGTGACCTGTGTCCTTGGAGTTGTTTCAGTCTCTCAACGACAGCAGAACCTCAATGGCAATGGATATTTATATACCCTGCCTGACCTGGTCCTTTTATTTTTGCAATTCTCCTCCCCTCACCACAAATGAGATTATGTTTAGAGCAATTGTTCAATCGTTTTGCCATGGAGACCAATAACCCCTGTTAATAATCCACCAGCACTGACAAGACACTCACACTGCGGTGATCGAAGGCAGGACGGGAACAAACAGTGTTCAGAAGTGGCAGCACCTTCAATCAGTCAATGCCCTTGCCCAAATAAAGAAATATTCTCCCAGGCTTTTTATAAATCACTCGTATAATTGGGTTACAGCCTAGTTCAAATCATGCTTCCTCATGGTCCACAGTGAATTTCTTTGTTTTCCATTGAAATCCTGGAGTGTGGGGTGAGCCAGGACAGCTTCCATTTTTCTCAGTACCAAAATCATTTCACGGTCTAGTTGGATATCATTGACTTTGGGCCTATAGGGATTTTTTCAAGGATAGAATTGGAATATTCATTTTATTGTTCATCAATGAGGTGCGTAAGCTCTGTCTCCTTCCCTACATACATCCTGTGATGGAATTAGCAAAAACATCGTCCTAATCAGCCTGTTCAGCTCCGTCTTCCATCTAGGAATAGAAACGTCTGTTTCCACAAGGAACTTCGGTGTTGGGTAGAGAAAGAAAAGGAAAGAAACTCAAGAAGCCACCGGGGCAGTGAGCTCAGTGTTGAGGAGCAGTTAGAGAGGGTGGGAGGCAGGAAAATGCCCCTCGTTAGAAATGTTGCCCACTGCCAGGAATGATGCCGTCTTACCTGTCTGTGTCATGCCTAGAAGCTCTTCACTGTAGGATGACCCCGCTTGGTCCTGGTCTTAACAACAGCTGAAGGATTAACGGGTGGGATTGAGAGTCTTGCTAGTTCCTCACTGAGGGTCTCGAGGGTAGAATTAAAAACAATAATGGATAAGCAGGTGGCATAGTTGTTAAGGTACCAGACTCCCATATGATTGTCTGTGGTTCATTTCCCAGAACTAGTGGCTTGAAACTCATGCCAGGCACGTGTGCGTGTGTGCCCAAAATCCCAATAGGAGGAGAAGGGATTGCGCTGTGGTCATCCTCCCTGGGGGATTGATTTCTCACTTTCTGTCTTTCTGGGAAGCACACGTGCCCTATAGCAAAAACAAACAAACAAACAAAAAACCCTTAAAAAATTAAGAACAATATGTAGATTTATTTTTTAAAGATTTTTGATAGAGGGTTCATGCACTCACCAGAGAGACAGAAAGTGGGAACCCCCCACCCCCCTAGGAAGGATGACCATGCCGCAGTCCCTTCTTCTCCATTCTCTTCTCAGGATTTTGGTCACATACACACATGCCCAGCCTGAGTTTCAAGCTACCAGGTCTGGGACTCGAGTTGCTGTTGGTCATGTGGGAGTTCAGCGCCTTAACCACTACACCACCTGTTGGCCCCAATAAGTACAATTTTGGGGGAAATAAAATTTTAGCAAAATAATGCACATGCCCTAAGGCAAAAACCTCTAAAACCCCCCAAATTTTAGCAAAATAAAATCCAGGTAATATCATTGTCATGGTGATACACAATAACATCCTTACAACATCCTAACACCAGTGACCTGCTCCCAGGGAAGATGTGGGCTGTGCTCTGCCAAGGCTCGGGACCTCAGGCCAGGGGAACTCTGGGAAGGATTCCAGAGGAGTCAGGTGGAATGGGTGTTGAGGTTCCTTCTAAAGATTCTAGGAAATGGGAACTGGTTGCTCTATAAAGATGGTTAGGGGGGACCAGCAGTTAGCGTAATGGCTATGCCACTGAACTCCCATGTAGCTGGCCACAGTTCAAGTCCCAGACCCGGTGGCTTAAACTCATGCCGGGTGCATGTGCATGTGTGCCCAAGATCCCGAGAGGAGAATGGAGGAGAAGGGATTGTGGTGTGGCCATCCCCCCTGGGGGTGATTTCTTGCTTTCTGTCTGTCTCTCTCTGTCTTTTTGGTGAGCGCACGTGCCCTATAGCAAAAACCTCTCCAAAGAAAAAAAAACATGGTTAGGGATCCTGGGGCCCGAGGGAGAAGGAAGAAAAACGACGTTTGCCGAGCATGCTCAGTGTACCAAGGAGGGTGAGCACTTCAAACACTCCTCACCCTTCTGCGAGTGGGTATTGTGCCCCTCTTCCCCACCCCTGCAGGTGAAAACTCAGCCCAAGAGGTGAAGTGAATTGCACAGGGTCATCCAGTATCGTCAGGAGGAGAGCTCAGATTCCTAATCCGGAGTTGGTCTGGATAAACCCAGGCTATAGTTTCACTCATAGAGTTTTCTGCTTAAAAACAAACAAAATCTTGTCACTATAAACAATGGATGTAAAGGCTGTACACACAGTGTACAATAACAATAACAGTCCAGTGACTTTCTCCCTTACTAAAAAATAACACATGGGGCCATCCAGGTGGTGCGGTGGTTAAGGCAGTGGATTCCATATGACTGATTGCATGGCTCATGTCTTGAACCCAGTGGCTTAAAAACATGCCTGACATGTGTATGCACATGCCCAAAGTCCCAAGAGGAGAGTTATGGAGAAGGGTTGTGGTGTGGCCATACCCCCAGAGAGAGACAGAGAGACAGAAAGAGAGAAATCACCCCGTGGGGGGGATGGCCACGCCGCAGTCCCTTCTCCTCCATTCTCCTCTTGGGATCTTGGGCATGCACGCACACGCGCCCGGCGTGAGTTTTAAACCGGGTCTGGGACGCAAACCGTGGTCGACTACGTGGGAGTCCAGCAACATAGCCATTACGTTAACTGCTGGTCCCATGGAGGGTGCTTTTCCACTTTATCTCTCTGTCTTTCCCTTTGTCTCTCTCTAGTGAGTGCATGTACTCTGTAACAAATTGAAAAAAAAAGGTGATGTTTTTCGAGAGGTTTTAGCTATAGGGCGCATGCGCTTGCCAGAAAGACAAGAGAGAAACAGACAGAAAGCGAGAAATCACCCTCCAGGGGGGATGGGCATGCCACAATCCCTTCTTCTCCATTCTCCTCTCAGGATCTTGGGCACACACGCACACGCACCTGGTGTGAGATTAAGCCACCGGGTCCAGAACTCAAACCATGGTCGACTACATGGGAGTCCAGAGACATAGCCATTCCATCAACTGCTGGTCCCCAAAATGTGATTTTTTTTTTTTGGTAGAAAAATAAGATACACAGACAAGCAGAGGGAAAAAAGGAAGGAAAACTAGCTGAGTTCCTACCATCAGCAGATAAAGACTCCTCTCACTTTTCTGTGTCTTGCAACACCTCAGACAGGTGCCACCCAGTTTTATTTGTAACACCTCAGCTTTTGACAGGTTTGGAAGACAGCAGTTCTAGGGATGTAAAGTTTGGACTGATCCAAGTAGATGCCACCTTGCAGGTAGGCAGCCCTCCTTCAGGACTGGGCAGCTTTGTCTCTCTGTGAACTATGCCTTTTTCTTCTGGAAGTTACCATCAAGGTATTTGCTCGGCAGAGCCCTGCCTTTCGAGACTAGCAAAGGGAGTTCCCTAGCTCTCCTATCTCAGTGACCAGGTGAAAGTAAGGGGTGCCATGGCCCATATTTCAGCTTCCTTCCAGGAGTTTTAAGAAGACATGGTACATGAGTAACTTTGAGAAAGAGCCCACGGGAACTCCTTTCCTAGGTAGAGAAGGGGAAGCCTGGAGAGACAGTTACCATTCAGGAATTCCAGGCCAGTTTTGATACTGCAGACACTTGAATGGTGACTAATTATTTAACTACTAATTGTGTTTTCAGAGCTTCAGGCAGGAAGTAGAACATCTCATGGGGAGAAAGGAGAGACACTCAATAACATTCACCCTCAGGCTGTAGAGGGTTGCCGGTGGATTTCTGTAGAAGACAATAGTGTGACCTTCTGGAAATTGTCCCCTCGGTGCCCCTTCTTGATATTGAAGAGGCTCGTTCTCTGTTACTGTTCGTGTTTGACGGTGAAATCCTTAAACCAACAAGCTGAGAGCTCTCATTTTCAGGGACTGCATGGAGTGACAGAGTGACAGCGGAGACTGAGCCTCATGCCATAGGTAGTCCTCAGAAGTGAGGGTGGATGGCAGCTCTGGAAGGGACAGAGAGGCTGGAGGCATGCTTATGGGGAGGAGAGGAGAATGCCAACAAGGTGGGTATCGTTCTGGATCTCACCCTCAGGGATCTGGGCGATTTGACTTCAAAGAATCAAATAGCAGGAGGTCCAGGGTTTTTTTTTTTTTCCCTTCCCTAGGGATGCAGACACTCAGCTCCTGAGCCACAAACACAGGCCACAGGAGGTGATTTTCTGCTGTCTCTGGTTACCTGCGGGGGTCATGCATAATGCACAGGTAAAGTTACTATTGGCTCCCAGCCTGCTAAACTTCTTCACTCTGCGACAAGTGAAAACTCAACACAGTGCAACGCAAGGCAACCAACAAGTGCGTCTGACGCACACGTGATGTGGCCAATGGGCCAAGTACGGTCCTAGTGAACAAAAAGAGACTTCCTTTCTGCCCTCAACAATATTTCAACCTCTTAGTTGTGACAAGAGACAAGAGAAATCATGCGTAGAGGTTAAATGAGCTCTGTAGCAAGAGAACAAGGAACAGCTTGTTTGTATTAAGGTAGACATTAATTCAGCCTATCAGGGAGAGCATGGTGTGGGGGGAGTGTCTCCACACATTAGCATTTGGATATTGAAAAGTTCAGGCCTTCGTTCAGGCCTAGATTATTGGATTGTTAAAATAGTAGAAAAGGTCAGGGGGGACTGCGTGTAGGAAAAGCCATTTTATGAAACTTTTGTTCCATGTTTATAGATACTAAGTCATAGTGTAACATGTTTTGCTTACTTTATAGACTGCCAATAAAAAAAATAAAGATCAAAAGCAGAGAGAAAGGTCAAAAGGCAGAAAGAGCTAGAGATCTTCATAAATGCAAAATTGATCTCATATCTGCTTGAAGCCCTCCGGAGGCTTCTAGGGTGAGATGTCAAACTCAGCCTCCCTGGTTCACCTTCCTGCCAGGTCCAGCCTCCCGTCTTCCTCTCTGGCTCCTTTGCTGGCT